CGTGTAGGGCTTTGTAGGGAGAAGGTGCAGCGCAGTTCACTACTTCTGCATGTGTAATTTTTGATTGCATTATTGACTCTACTGAGATGTATTAATCCTGCAAAAATTCAAGAAGGGAAAATGTGGACCTAACAGGTTTTCTTGACTTTGGTGAATTGCCTTGTAAGTAGGTGGATTTATAGAAGTGACTCTATTACCCAGGAAGGTTATAATGACCTATTTATTGATTTAAAATAATGATATTTGTGTTGAGTTAGATTTTGGAGGGGGGAGGTTGTTTCCTAGAATTGGTTTAGGTTGGTAATTTAGTGCAAAGTAGATAATAATAATACAACCACAAAAATATAATAGGTATTGATGGGAGTTTGATTAAGGTGATTTGTGTAGCTAATAATTTTTTTTAACCTATTAAACTGATAAAGATAAGCTTGCAGGATGAATATCTGAAGTAAGTAAAGTGACGGTTTGAGGTGTGGTTCCTTGGAGGAGTCTTCAGAGTATTTCAGGACACTGTTGTATTCTTTCTGCTTTAAGAGTATTCTTTCTGTGTTAAGAAAGGTGAACAACTGCTATGATGTAAACATAAAATATCTGTATCTCTTGATTGCTTAAGCAAATCTCTTTGAGTAATTTGAGTTTGGTTTAAAAAAAAAAAAAGAACCTATGTGGCAAGTGTTTGTGAGAGACTGATTAATTTTAATCTATTCAGGGTAGATTAAATATACTCGGGTAGATTAAAATTAGATAATCATCAGCATCATCTTTGTGATTTGTAAATTTTGAATTGCTCCAATCGTTGGCTAACATAGCATTGCAGGAGATAGAAGGATCCATGTGGATTGTCACTAGTAGTAATTCGCAGCTGGGTTTGCTTTTGGAGGGCGGCAGGGACAATGTCCCATTGTCCCAGACGTCGTACAAAGGAACAGTAAAAGCCCTATTGAGTTCATAGGCTGGTACTATGGCAAGATGTAGTCTGAGGATGACATATTTGATTTGGACTAGAGAGCAAGGTAACATTTATTTGAATGCATTTTCCAGGGAGGGCAGGTTAAGTTATTCTCTGTTATAATGCAATATTTATCATTAGCATTTTCTTAGTTATTTGTGGGACTGTCGGAGTGTGGCCAAATTGTCCCAGGAGAGAAGTTTAGGGTTTGTAAACGAAGCCATAAGAGTACAGCTAATGTTGTGGAGTAGGCTATAGAGACAAGCAGGAGAAAAGACTGTAATCTAGCAAGGACAATTAAATTATGGACAATAATAAGGTTCATGTTGTGATACATGTAATTACTTTTGTTAAATATCATGGTCTGATATATTAGGTTTGAGGCTATGACAGAGAGGGAATTTATGTTCTTGAGCTTTTATGCATCATTGAGAGTTCTTTATTCCCTTTGGACCTCAATTATAAAAATAAATCTATATAATTGCCTCAGGAAGAAGGCTCCTGGAATCGCTTAGAAGGAGTTGCCTGAGGTTCTGCGGAGGCAGTTCAGTCACGGCAGACGTGGCGAAGCATCTTTTGCAGACACAACTGTGTGTGCTCAGGCCATGTTCTCGATCAGTGTAGTTTTGCTTTTCTTCTCTGTACTTCATGAGAGCTGCACTGGTTTGGCCCCAAACTTCAGCTGGTGTCAAGCTGGCATGAAAAATACTGCTTGTGAAAAGCCTGTAGTACTGCTGTGCTTATCAACCACGATGTACTGGTGGTATTACAGCCAAATTCCCTGAGGAAGAGGAATTTAAAACTTTGGCTTAGCCCTCTGAACTGCGCTGCTTTTTACCCCAAATGAACAGGAATAGAGTACAAGGAATATTCTTAATTTTTTGTTCGCATTTTTTTCTGAGGGTCCATAATGCAGCATTCATTTACACTAATGGCTAGGAAGCTTATTGCAAATGCCTGAATTTTCTCAATTAGCAAGCTAAGTGCTTAAGACCAATAAACAGGAAAAGAAACTGTATCAGTAAATGTGGTCATTCATTTATTTTGACACAATTTAATTCAGAGTGATGTATTAACAATAATACTTCCCAGCCTTCTAGTAAATGCTCTGTTGTGTATTTTGTAAAATACTGCTGGGTAAGTAATATGGAGCCTGCTTTCTCAGTGGCTGAGCTCGCTTACCAATGCAGCTCTGTTGTGCTGAATCTTTGTTGAGAAGCACCTAGGGTTTATCAAATTTACAGAATAGCAGAGTAAGAAATAGCGAGGCTTGATTATAGATGCTTCAGTGAATAAAGGAGCTGTTTTTGTTTGACATACTGATACTCCCAGTATAGCCATAGTTCCTTGCTCAATATTTTGTTTACTCTGATGTGCATATTTAGCAGAAATGGGAGCAATAATATTCTTTGGGAACATGAAAAGAATATATGTACATGCTTCACTGAATCCCCAAGGCCCTCATGTAGTCAGTTAAAAATACCATGCTGAGTCATGTGGCATTTCGTAATAGTGGTGCATTTTATTTTCTAATCTCATAAATCTGCATAAATCTCCATGGATCTCGGTATTGCGGTCCTGTGGAGAAGAGGATTTGGGGCACATACATGTTAAATGACTTGCCTGGGGTTGCTGAATGAGTCTGTTGCAGAGGTAGGAGTGAGTAGGTTTCTCTGTTTTGATCAGTATAAGTTTAAGACACTGTAAGCTTCAGTTAATCACCGTGAGGTAGGTTTAAAAAAGGTCCTGGTGAGGCTTTGGCTACCGAACAGTGTCTCTTTCCACTTGCTGTAGGTGCTCCTTCTCTTCTTCCCCTTGATACACTTAATCTGTTGAAGAAATGTACTTTAACTTCTGTAACATCTGGTTGGCAAAAGGGAGGAGTTGATCATAAGAGGCTGCTTCTGCAGAGTTTCTTCATTAACTTGGTCTCACCTGCCATCGTGGAAGGTGGAAGTGGGAATGAAGAGATAAATCCAGGTTTCACTGTTCAGACTTGAAACTATTATTCAGGAAGAAAGAAACACAGAAACTGGATATTTTGCTAACAACTGAAAATGAGAACAAAACACACTAATTCTTATTTCCTAGATGAGAAAACTGCAAACTCGATATTTTTTTTCTTTCATCTGAGAAAGTGTGACTGTTAGAGACACGGAGGCTACTGCAGGACTGTACATAAAACTGCGCAAGAACAACCCTGTCTCTTCCTACGGCCTCATAGTTTACACTTGAAACATCTTCCTCCTGAACTTTTCATGCATATACAGTTGTTGGCTGTGGCTCTTATCTGGAAAAGGATAAAAATGCATTTAAATGCTGGATCTCACTTATTGATGAGAACAGTAATTCAATTTACTGGGTATGATTCATTATGGCTCTATAACCTCTCTGAACCTGGAGCCAGGAGCGAGACTGCCCTGATTATGAATAACATCAGTGCAGAGGCGTGTAGACTAGACTGGCGGCCCCTAGGATTCATTGCGGCAGGGATATGACCTTATGGCATCCTCCTAAGGACTGCTCGAGCCTGTACCAGACCCCGTACTGGCTGCTGGCAGTCCCTTCTTTGTGCTCAAGCCAGCAAATGAGTGAAGCTGTCCTGGTATGGCTTGTCAAACTACTGATTTTATTCGATGGACAGTTAAAACCAGAAAGAAGAGAGAAGGAAGAAGATGTATCTCCAACATCTAGATGAAGTACAGTTTTGGGTTGGAGCCAGCAGTAGGGCTAGGCTCTATTCACGGTTTCTGCTATGTAACCTGGTCACATACAAGCAGCTCATCTTCTGCGATATGTCCTGTGATGAATTTGAAGCAAAGGGGGGGGGGGGGGGGGGGGGAAGGTAACGAATGAAACAAATCCCAACATGGATCTCGCCCATATCCAAAAGCATAGGGCATGTTTGAATCTGGGGTTTTGAATACATTTGAGTCTTGATTCTTCTTTTTATGGTTGTAACAATTCTGGATATAAAAATTCCTGGAGAATTCTAGCTAGGGAAATACAAAAAAAAGCTACTCAGATACTCAGTGTGGTTGTGGAAAGAAGTTGGGTCTCCATTTGTCGCTCTGAGCCTGGGATCAGGGAGTGAGGAGCCTGGCCATGGAGCAGACTGTAGATGGGAAAAGCTGTGTCTGTGAAAGATGTGAAGGAGAGAAGAAGCTCAAATAGATACAGGAGTATGAGAGGGGCGGGAGAGGGAGTGTGAAGTGTATTTTAGAAGGCCCTGGTCAGCATATTGGCCAAGGAGGACCTTTCTGACGGTGGTGTTTGACTGTGCTAGGGGGTGGCAGTGTGCTTATTAGCAAAGGCAGAGGAGGAGGGGACAGAGGCATTGATCCGTCCTGAGGTAGCAGAGGGAGGCAAGGACAGGAGTTCTGCCTGGGTGATTAGGACGGCTATTACCGAGGGGGCATGTCAGGCTGGGAGAGGTGACTTTAGCAGAGCTGCTTCCTCTGGAAGTAATGACTTCTGCTTATAGCAAGAACGCAGCCACAATAAGAACAACCTGTGCGTGTCATAAAATTAAGCTGTAAAGGAGATGGTAAAAAGGACTGTGACATTTGAAGAAGGAAGACTCTGCAGCATTTTCTTGAGCAAATTGGGGGGAAAAAAACCCTAAGCCTTCAGGTACCTATGAAGATGCTGCATTTTTCAGGTCTGAAGATGCTTTTTAACTGCAGCATGATTTAAAAATCTGATTTTTCAACCTAGATGTATTTATTTCTTTTTCCTTTTTAGCTCTATCGTCCACTTCTGAAAAGATATGCTGAGCTTGAACAGAAGGTTATCTACAGCCCAAGCTCTTGTCTTGCGAAATAGAAGCAAACAAAATTTATAAGTCGGCTGAAGAGTGGACTCCCAAGGAGAAGATCAGAAAAGATTTGCTCAGAATTTACTGGAGTTGTTTAAATCATTTTGTTCCTCTTTGTAGACAAATAATTTTTAAATGTCTGTGTGCGAGTGTGTTGGTGGAAAAAATGGCATTGTGATTGAAAACCTGATTAAAAAAGCATCATGTTGCTCTGTGTGTTTGTGACTTCAATTTAACTTGGGTACTTTTCAGATTGTGCTTGCTGTCTTGGAATAGCTGGCAAAGTCAAGTTCATTGTATATATGAATCACTCTACCCATCTCTATCAGCTTTGATTCCATGTGTTTAGCATGCCGGCCTCTCTGCATACCTATCTAGCACAGTATCTTAATTCCACAACTTCTTCTGCTTCAATCTTTTGAAACTATCTTTCTGTACATCTGTAACTTCTCGATGTTTGTATCTTTGCTTACATGAAACCAACAGAAAGCATAAGCACACTGACTTAATCCCATCTTTCTTTAATATGTGGAGATTTGTGGAGTGAAGGGTGATTAAAGTCTTTCAAGACTCCCTGGCATCCTCACAGAAGGGGAATTCTTGTCCCATGACACTATGGAAAGTCTGTTGTGTGATAAAACACGATGTGGTTGGATTTTATAAATTGTGGAAAATACAGTTTTGTAAAAAAGAAAAGGAGAACAAAGGGAAGTTTTACAGGTTTCCTTTCTGTTTCAAACAGCAGAGTCAGTTTATCTGCACAGCATTTTGGGGTTATACTGTTTTCCTTTCCTCCTTCAGGTGTCATGGCTATGAAATTCTTTGTGTCGTGCTGAGTGCAACTGCAGAAGACTGGCTCTGCTCCCAACAAGGCATGAAGGTGACTGCTTTTTTTATACCACCAATATCCTATTTCTTTCCTGGAGATCCTGAGCAGAACTGGTCTTGCTCTTCAAATGTTTTAATGCAGATAAAGTAGACTTTGGCTGAGAAAAATCTTAGAGAAAATACAAGCCAGGAGATCTTTTTACAGAGACGTGGAAGTCGCAGAATTTGAATGAACATCCTAAATCACCCTGTGCAAGTGGGAACATTTTACTGCACCATTCTGCAGTGCTGGTATGTTTCCTCTAGGATAAAATTTCTTTTGGGAATAGAGCAGACTTGTTTAATGAAAGTGGCTGAAGCCTTTCTTCCCTTCTTGTAGAAGTTGTAATATACCTAGGGAGTAAGTCAGGGAGTTGTAGGGAGCAGAGGATCTCTTTACCGAGTATTTGCAGGCTGGATTATATCCCTGCTGGAAGTGAGTGACTCAAATTCATATTCTTCACATTACCGTAGCCTAGGAGCACTCTGCCTGTCCCTGCTGCATCTCTGCGGTCAGGCTGGGACCCCCTTGCTGTGACTACCTCCGGAGTGGCAGGGGAATGGGCACGTTCCTCCTTTCCTCTCCCTTTTATATTTAAGTGCTTCGTTTGCGAGTACAAACAGTGCCTTTTTTTGTTCACAACTGAATAATTATAACTTCTCTTGATATTAGCATGATTACTCAGGAAGGTCAAGAATTACATTTCCGAGTTTCTAAAGCAGGCTTCTTTTAAGCAATTGCTTTAAAAGGTGGCATTACAAATACACATCTATCTCTTTTATGTGCTTATTATTCTGTGTCCCAAGGTACAGTGCTAAAACATATAATACTTCTCACGGGCCTCTGCCGTCAGCAGTTGCTTTGTCATTGAGCAAGGCTGTAGAGAGGTACAGAAGGATTCATTAATGCAAGTGAAACAATGCCTACTAGTTTAAGCAGCGTTACCATCATCATTAGTCTTTAGTTCTGCCTGGTTACTGGTTTGACATCAAGGTTAACCACACAGGGAAGGGATTCAGAGAGGTGTTTCAGCTTTGTGCAGTTTTGGTGACAATTTCTTGAGTAGCTCATTTGGTTTATCACAGCGAGAAGACTGATGTCTCTTGTAGTTTTGTGGCTTTATTTGCCTGTGAAATGGGAGACTCAGGGTCAATTTCTTACTCAGCTGAAGAAGGTTAAAGCTTACGCTTCCCAGCTCATAGCACATGTTAGAACATTTCTAGATAATACATTGGCTCCTAACAAAGTGTTATGTGGTGCTAGTAGGATATCGTCTAGATGGTTTAACTACTTTCTGGACTTGAGCTCTTCTCTGGGTAGGGAGAAGGAAGCACATCCTTCTCTGTTGGGCTGGGGCTCTCTGATGTGTCCCACGTTAGCATTAAACCACTGTTTCCTCAAGGTAGCTGATGCACTGTGTGCTTGCTGCAGGAGTCCCTGAGAAAAGACTCAGATGCAAGGCTCTGAAGGGCCAGGAGTTGAGCACCACTGAATTATAGTATTGCTGTGGAGATGGGTTTATTAGGGCTGGCCTCTGAGGAATGGTGTCTGGAGTATAAGAATTTATAGGCAAGCTCTTTTTTTTTTCCAGCTCACCAAAGTTGCACATGTTCACTGACTAGTGTCAGATAGAATAAGACTCAATAAATCTCCCCATAGAAAGGTCCTTTGAAGAAATGCTGCTGTAAGACTTCCATCACTCTTTTCTTTTTGTCTTTCCAGGAATGCACATTAGCCTGCCAAGGAACCACAGGTTTCTTGCTCTCACAGGCACAGTGATGGAAGGATCTGGTGCCCTTTGGTTTCCAAAATCATGTGGCTTTTTGCCAACTTGTCTACCTTATGTTATTCTGGTTGTCTGGAGTAGAGAGGTTACTGACTTAATTAACGTCTTTGCTAACAGAAATCTAAAGGCAAGCAAGTGTCTTCTACCTCAGCATATTTGATGGAGGTTGATTCCCTCCCTCCCCTATAAGTGACCTTACTGTTCTTCAAGGTGAGCAACGTGGCATCCCCATCTTGTCTAGACAAAAGGTTAGCTTCTGTGTTTAAAGACCTGCTGAGCTATTCCCAGTCTAGACTGATCTGCTGGAAAATTGATCTCATCTCCTGGAAAAAAACCCTTGATTGCCACAAGGAGGTTGTTCATCGCTGTCTGACCTGCAGCTCCTGTCCTGCACAAGCAGAGCCACTCTAGGTGGAGGTGGGTCATGGAGTTACGTGGAAAAATCCAAGCAGCTTCCTTAGCTCGATGGCCCTGTGCCCTCACCAGTCAATCAGAGCTTCACTGGATTCACCCACAAGCTCTTGGTGTACCGTGACCCAAAGACAAACAGTTTTCTTTGCAGCTTGAAGTCTTTAAAGTCTTTTGTGATGCAGCTGGAAACAAACAGGAAAAGATGTTTGCTTTTTCTTAAGGGATCAGTCTGAGGGAGCTGGAGCTCTGATTGAATAAGTAATGTACTGAAAAAAGTCTATGCTCTGTCAGTGCTTTAATAAGTAATTGAGCGGAATACTGCCGTGTGCAATCCCGGTGGGACCTTTTTGTTTTTCAGCTCTCTTTTCCTTTGGAGCTGCAGCTACCACCACAGATCACAGAGCAGCGCAGTGAAGGGTGTGTATCTAAAGCCACAAAAAGCCAAAGCAGGACTTTCAACAAATCATTTGTTTTATCTGTATTTCTATTACCTTGGTCCCTAGACTGCTGCGTGCAGGTGAAGGGATGGGGGAAGAAAAGAGTAACATTTTAGAGAACTAAACTCTCTGCTCTTGGTGCTTGTCATGAATATGGGGCCAAGTTATAACCCTTTCCCTAGCAGAAGGGTGCTAATTTGGATTTTTCTGACTTTACATGTAATCTTTAGGATTTTTATTTTGGTGAGATCTCTACCCTCAGTTAAAATTGGGTTGAAATTGGCAAACAAGTTAAAAATATGGCTAAGGATGATTAGAAGGTGGGTGGACGTTCACTCAGACATCAGGGGATCGCTATCCCATGAGGAGTGTTTCCTTAAGAAGCTTCTCTGAAGGTGACCACAGTCCTGATTCCACGTGACTTGACATTTTAGTATGGTGTTTTACACTTGTGCAAATGGGGTACAAAATCATATCTGCACCAAAGGATCTTCTCTTGTTACTTTACACTCGTTTTGTGCAGGTCAAAATCACGATGGGATGTGCAAGGCAAAAGAACTCGGGATGAATTTTTCTGGTAACCAGCTTTTTTCTGAGCATGTCTCTGAAGTGTGAGTGAGACATCTTTGACTGGGGTATTCAGAGTAGCTGGGGTGAGCCCCTGCTCACTTCTGTGTTTTGATACAGCCTAGGTCAAGCCTCTCTGGTTAGCCAGTTCAAGCAGTTTAGCTTTCAGTCATCAGAGCTTGCATTACCAGAATGTAAGATTTTTAGATTAATTTTTTTTCCCTAGAATGTTTTTTTCCTCTCCTGCAGCAGATGCGACCTTTTCTTGTACACAGTTTGCCTTGTTAGCTGTTTCCACTTCTGCGGGATGCTAAGAAATTCCCTTACATGACAGTTTCCCAAGTGAACTTGTCTCCTGCTGACATCCAGCCCCTCATTTTGCTTTACTTGTTCATGTGCTTCTCTGTTGCTTCTTGCAAAGTTGGCCTTGACAAACAGAATGATGCTTTTGCAGTGATCCCAGACTCCTGGGAATGTCTCAACCATTGTGGAAACCCGGTGATTTTGTTCAGTGTTCTTGAAGCGCGTACCCCGAGGGGTAAGGGTGAAGGAGCAGCTATTGCTGCTTGTGGATACTTCTACGATCTCTGATTTCAGTCTTTCGCTAAGTTGCCTCATCCATTGATGTGTCAGCCTGCCCATTAGAACAACTGGGGATATTATTAATCGCGCACAATGTTTCTTGCTCTAAGCTCTTTAGATGACAGGTATTTGTGATATGTTCTTTGTTAGGATGCTGTGATTAGCTCTGCTTTCATTTGGTATGTTGTGCCTTAGTACTCTGTAACGCATCCATCTGGTTGTCGTTTCTCTTTTAGCATCTCATCAGCCAAACAGAAGTCTTTGGTCATTCAGGTATGGGATTCATCTGACCAGTGTAGACATCTGTGTCTGCTCTCATATGGGCTCCTTTTATAATCAAAGGAGAGGACCACAAGGGAGAGGAGTGTCTGGCTGTTGTTCATCTTACCTTGTGGCAGATGTCTACAACAGACCAGGTGATTTGTCCCCTGAGTGAGCCATTTCTCCCTGCTGAATAGAAAGGCAGTTGTGTGGAGGACAGAAAAAGCCAATTTTTCTTCTTGTGCCGAAACTCCTGAAGACTTGTTTGAAAGCTGGTCTCAACTTT